ACGGGATTCGGGATAACTCACGATAGTTCTGGTTCGTCATTAAAACGAAAGACTTGATATAAACGGGATGAAGATGAGCGTCCAGATGGCATTCGGGGTCATCGAACGCGTCCTCGATTTTCTCGATGCAGGCGAAAAAGACGGAAGAGGCGAGGGTAGCACGATATGCAGCGGCACAGGAGGAGGAGGAGGAGGAGCAGCAGCAGCAGCAGGAATAAAAAGAGCAGGAATCGAGCGTCAGGGGGAGTCAGGCGGAGGACGAGGAGGGCCGACGAAGTTCGGGGTGGACGGACGAGGGGGGCCCAGGGGATGGCTGCAATTCGCATGCGGGGCAGCAGACCCCGAGGAATGCCACAGGAGCACGGGACGAAGGCAAGAAGGAGGGTCGGCGGATGTCGCTGGACCGTTCCTTGGGCGAGCTCCGACCAGAACGTGAGAACCTCACAGAGGACCGCCGTGGCGACGAGGGCCCCCCCCCAGTGACAGAAAACGTCCAGAAGCACGAGTCCAGAACCCTCGACGAATACCCTTGATCCTCGATCCTCGTCCCCGCATCCGTCCGCCTCAAGCAGTCGGGGACGCGCCGACCCAACGGTCAGCGCCAGCCTGGACCAGCCAGGGCCCAGGTTGCGAACCACCAGCCTGGTCACCGAAGAGTGGCAGGGGGGGATCGACTCCACACGGCCCCAGGCCTGGGCCAGCCAGACGGGCGTGGGCGACCCCTGTTGGCGCCGACGCCCCCTGAGAAGCGACGGAGCGGCAACAGAATCGCAGCCGCAGGAAATCACGGCCAGAGACCGAATCAGACCCCATCCTTCCTCGGGGGCGTCCAAGAGGGGGGCGTCCAAGAGGGGGGGTGCAAATCATGGCCGGCGGCATGTGCGCGGCCCAGGGGGGGGCGGAGACGCATTGAAACAAGAAGAGGCGCGATGAGATCTGGGGAGATATCATGGCCCCCACCATGATATCCACCCCCCCCTAGTCATCACCCCCCTCTTTGCCGCCCCCGACTGCTGTTGCACTTCTCGAACCCCTCGACCCGCGAGGATCCCGGGGCCCGAGATCGGACGAGAACGCCCCGGTTGCAGAAACGGTGCGACGCCCGGGCCCAAGGCAAGGATCCTCGGAACTCGCGCCTCCAGGGCGGCCCTCGGATCCGCCTGGGGGGGGCCCACTGAAGGGCCCAAGGCTTCCCACCGCCTTGACCCTGCTTCGACCCCAAACTGCGGCGGTCTCCAGCTGCTGAGAGTTCGCTAGGAGGAAAAGGAGGTGGAGGAGGATTTGGGGGAAGCAGGAGGAGGAGGAGCAGCAGGAGGAGTAGCAGGAGCACGAGGAGGAGGATGGGGGGAAGCAGGAGGAGGAGGAGCAGGAGGAGCAGGAGGGGGGGAGGAGGACCAGAACGCAGGCGTGCCGAGGACGGCCCCGCGGGCCGGGGGGTGGTCCTCCATCGGCAGGTGGCCCGGCAGCCAGTCGTGCTCTTCCACGGCAAGGAGCACCGCCTCGACTGGGCCCGGCGGGGAACCACTCCTCCTCCTCTTCCTCCTCCTCCTCATCCTCCTCCTCCGCCTCCTCCGCCTGCTCCTCCTCCTCTCCTCCTCCTCCTCCTCCTCCTCATCCTTCCCCTCCCTTAAAGTCGCCCCTTCAACTACTCCAAGGGGGTGTTTTGACCAAAGTTTTGATGCGGATCCCGCCGTCGCGAAAAGAGCGCCCACGAACGCCTAAAAGTCCAGGCCAGAAACCTCGATCTTCGAACCGTGACCCCCTTGGTGGCATGTGGGGCCGTCCTGAAGCGCCATGTCGCCCTCTGCGGCAGGGGGTGCGAGGGCATGGTATGGCCAGAAGAACCCCGAAACTCCAACCTCCCACGACGACGACGAGGAAGACCGTCGACAACGACGACGACGACGACGACGACGACGACGACGACGACGACGACGACGATAACGACAACGAACGACGAACGACGAACGACGACGACGACGCCGACGACGACGACCACGACGACGGCTGCGGCGGCGGCGGCCGCCGCCTCGTCTTGTGTAAACAAGATGTGTTCGCAAGCCTCCTAGTGGGGGGGTGCGCGGAGATGCAAAGATGGTACCGCTTCGCCCGTCAATCACTCTTCCCGCTCCCCCTCCTTCTCCTTCTCCTCCTCCTCTTCATCCTCCTCCTCCTCCTCTTCGTATGAGTCGCCGTCTTATTCTTATTGTGACTAGTAGTATGATGCTTGATGCTAAGAAGTAGTCTTATTACGAGTAGTATTAGTCTGATTCGTCCTCTTGTTTTTCGTATTAGCATGCTTCTTAATAGTGGTTATACTCTTCCTACTCATAGTATTATTAGTCTTAGTGACCCCCTTATTATTCGTTTCATGTTGGCACTGTTATTCTTATTATTCCTCCTCCTCATCATCATCCTCCTCCTTATCCTCCACCTCCTCCTTATCCTCCACCTCCTCCTCCTCCTCCTCCTCCTCCTCCTCCCCCTCCTCCTCCTCCTCCTCCTCCTCCTCCTCCTCCTCCTCCTTCTCCTCCTGCTCCCCTTTCCTCTCCTGACTCACTCATTCTCCTCCTCTCCTCCCTCCTCCTCCTCCTCCTCCCCCTCCTCCTCCTCCCTCCTCCTCCTCCTCCTCCTCCTCTGCTGCTGCTCCCCCTCCCCCCCCCTCCTCCTCCTCCTCCTCCTCCTCCTCCTCCTCCTCCTCCTCCTCGTCCTCCTCCTCCTCCTCCTCCTCCTCGTCCTCATCCTCCTCCTCCCCCTCCTGTTCCTCCTCGTCCTCCTCATCCTCCTCTTCCTCCTCCTCCTCCCCCTCCTCCTCCTCCCTCCTCCTCCTCCTCCTCCTCCTCCTCCTCCTCTCTCCTCCTCCTCCTCTTCCTCCTCCTCCTCCTCCTCCTCCTCCTCCTCCTCCTCCCCATGCATGCGCCACATCCTCATCCGCCACATCCTCTTCCGCATCATCCTCCTACTCACATGGCTCCTCCTCATGATAGTCGTCCTCATCTTCCCATCAGCATGGGGCGCGAAGCAAGAAGCACGCCCACACGTGTGCACCGTCTGAGGTTCTGCGGGTTCGCCGCCGGAGCGCGAGTCAGAAATCCTGCTCGATATCGTTTCAAAGCTCTGTTGTGACAACATCTCCAATATCTTTGAGATTCATACATCCACGACTATCCATATAGTTCCCTGCGTGGCTTCCAATCAGCACATGGCCATCATCCCCACCCACCACCACCACCACCACCACCACCCACCACCACCACCATCACCTCCACCATGACCATCAGCATAGCCGTCGTGCCATCCCCAAGCCAGCCGCAGCTGGGCCGCGCGCCGCAGGCGCACCGCGGGTGCCTAGAGCCGACGGCGACTGAGCAGCGCCAGCTTTACAACGCGCTGGCTGCCGCCCGCGAGGCAGCGCTGGCAGCGCATTCGGCTGCGGGCCTGGCGCAGGGCGCGGCAGCCGCTTGCTGGTTGCTGCGCCCCCCGCCCAAGGGCCTCTGCCGCGCGGCAGCGGAGGTGCTGGAGGCCAGCCGGTCTCCCACGCCTGCCGCCAGGGGCGGCGCTGCAGCTGCTGCTGTGCAGCGTTCGGTTCCTCGTCCTGGCGCCACGCTGCCCGCGGGCGCGCGCATCGCGCCGCGGGGTGGCCAGCGCGAGGGCCGCCGCCCAAATCTGCAGGGGAGTGGTGGCGCGCCAGCTGTGGGCACAGAACTGGAGGGCCTGACGACAAGACTGACGTCGAGGCAGACGACGCCCGACCCCGCCCGATTTCCTCTGGCGAGGTCAGCACGCCCGGCGCCCTCCGGATCTCCCCGACGAACACCGGGAGGCCGTCCAGCAGGATCTCGAGGTCCTTGACGCCCCTGACAGGAGGCGCCTCCTCCTTCTCCACTCCTTCTCAATCCTCGCTCCCTGCTCCCTCCTTCTCGTGCCAACCCTCCTCAGACCCCTCCTCCTTCCTCCCCAGACTCCCTCCCTCCTCGCTCCCTGCCTTCCGCTTCCTCCCCCATCGCCACCCTTCCCACCCTCCCCGGAGCCCTCCTCAAACCCCCCCTCGGTCCTCTTCCTCCTCACCCCCCCTCCCTCCCTCCTCCCCCCTCCCCCTTCGGCGGTTGAATGGGCGGAGCACTGCAGGCGAGCTAAGCTCGAGGCCGAGGCCGCCAGGGCCTGGCCACGAGGGGGCGTCTAGGCCCTCTCTCGCCGCTGCGGCGGCAGGCGGACTTCGTCCGCCCGACCCCGAACCTAATCTAACCTCCCCCCTCCCCCTGCCCCTCCCCAGGCCCCTCCCCAGGCTGCCTCCCCAGGCCCCTTCCCTCCTGCCTCCCTGCCTGCCCGCTGCCTCCCCCTCGCACCCCGAGGGCGGCCGTCTGCGAGGCGAGCGCGGGGAGCCAGAACCCGCCCGCCCCCCCAGCCCCTCCGTCCCGATCTCGCCTCGCTCTCCTCCTCCTCCTCCTCCTCCTCCTCCTCCTCCTCCTCCTCCTCCTCCTCCTCCTCCTCCTCCTCCTCCTCTCCTCCTCCTCCCTCCTCCTCCTCCTCCTCCTCCTCCTCCTCCTCCTCATCCTCCTCCTCCTCCTCCTCCTCCTCCTCCTCCTCCTCCACTTCCTCCTCCTCCTCCTCCTCCTCCTCCTCTTCCTCCTCCTCCTCCTCTCCTCCTCCTCCTCCTCTCCTCCTCCTCCTCCTCTCCTCCTCCTCCTCCTCCTCCTCCTCCTCCTCCTCCTCCTCCTCCTCCTATCTCCAGGGTGCTTAAAAAGAAGCAAAGCGAATGTCTGCTGCCCACGTGTCGGAGTTTGGGGCCGTCCAAAACACTGCTCTGAGGATGGAAAGCTGGCCCTGGGGAAGGGGTCAGGACGTCTGGGGGGCCCGTACTGCTAAGCTTCAGACGTCCGATGTCGGGGTAAACAGCGAAGAAGATGGATCCCCCTCTCCCCTGATCCTACTCATCCTCCCGAGGGTCGGGGGCGGCCTGCTGCTGTGCTGGCGGGACTTGTTGTAGTTCCAGATGCGGATCATGGAAACGGCCGTCTTGCCGCGCGCTCGTCGCGGCTCCTCCTTTTCCTGCTGCCATTGCTGAGCCGCCTCCTTCTCTCGGCGGCGAGCTCGGGGCAGCCCTCCCAGGAGGCACAGAACACTTCGCAGAAGGCCAAAAGGCTTCTGAGAAGCCCCGCCGCCAGCGGAGAAGGCCAACTCCGTCTCACTTCCCCCCTCCTCGCCCGCCGCTGATGATCACGCCTGCTCCACAGATCTCCTCACACGGGGAGAGTGTGGCAACTTGCGGCCGACGGTACCCTCGAAAGGCCCCTGGGCCGTGACCCCCCCCCCCGAAAAAAAACGAGTACGATGAAAAACAAGTCCAAGTAAAGGGATCGAGATGATGACGAAAAACATATACAAGTACTCCTCCCGCTTCCTCCTCGTCATCCTCCTCCTACTCCTCCTCTTCTTGATATCACTATTATTCCTCCTCCTCCTCCTCCTCCTCCTCCTCCTCCTCCTCCTCACTCGTCGTTATCCTCCCCCCTCCATGTGTTCCCCCTCGATTAGGACTGGACTGGACTGGAACGATTGCGACCCTGGTGAGTGGAACCTGGAATGCAACACGTTACGAGGCGAGCAGAAGATGTGTAAAAATATCTGCGGATAGCACGGTGCTAGAGCCTGCACAATCGCTGGGGAGAAAACCACGGGCCCGAAGTAGGACAGTCTTGAGGGGAACTAACCCGTGACGGCCTACACGAGCACCATCCTCCCAGCAGTAGGCTCGCAATGGAAGAGAGTCGGAAGGATCCCCCAATTCAATTCTAGGCCAGGCCCAGCAGCGACACGACAAGGGAACGAAGGGGAACGAAGGGGAACGACGGGCGAGAAGGAACATGACACGACCAACGCCACACGCAGAAACGCCCACGCACACACCCTCGAGTAGTAGGAGGAGCAGGAGGAGGACGCCAACGATCCGCCTGCACGCGTCCTGGCCAAGTTGCCAGTTCGGAGCCCACGGCAGGTGGATGCACCTTCCTGGTCTAGCCCAGGAGTGTGCGTGCGAGGATCCTGAAGACCAGGATTGGCATAGAAAGATCACTGCATTCAGGTGGATGGTTGCCACCTCCCGATTCGTTTCCCCGTCCTCCCCCATCCTTCGCCTGCTCGCCCCCTCCTCCCACTCCTCCCCTTCCACCTCCTCCTCCTCCTCCTCTTCCGCATCCCTGCACCCCATCAGTCATCCCCATCATCATCTTTCCCCGTACTCCCTCTCCTCATCCTCAAATGCTCCTCCAATCTATGCGCACGTTAACAGCAACGTAGACATTGCCGACCAAACAGTTTCCTCACCATGCGCTCCCCTTCAGCATTCCCCCTCCTCATTCTTTTCTCCCCGACTGACTGACACTGGCCTCAAGAACTGTCTCGCGGCGTCCACGTGCTCCCGCGCTGGCGCCCGACGCTCCCGCGCTCCCAGAGGGGGTAGAGGTGCAACTTTCCTCAATGCCAGAAATCCGCCAGTCATTCGTTGCTTCATTCATTCATTCATTTGAACGTCCGAAATGGGTACGGAAAAAATTGCACAATGCCCACCAACACATGTTGTCCCAAACCAATAGCGGCCGCTGTTGGACAGGTGGCCGCCTTCTATAAATGGACACAGGCCGCGGCGATACCAACAGCGAGTCCTCTTCAAAATGAAAAGAAACTGCTTCCGGTTTTTGTATCCATTCTTTCCGTACCTATGTCCCGAATTCCTTCCTTCTCATCCTCCTCACCAACCCAGAGCCGGCGAACATCCGAATCTCCATCTGTCACTACCGGTCGCGGCCATCATCGGAGGAGACCATGTGATTATAAGATCTGCCGCGGCACGCTGCCCTCTCGGCAGAGGTGGGTCCCGGCATGGTCAAGAGATGGTCCTCCTCTTACTCCTCCATCCTCCCTTCTCCCTCCTCCTTCCTCCCCCTCCCCGTCCTCCTCCTCCGCCTCCTCCTCCTCCACCTCCTCCTCCATTTCCTCCTCCTCCGCCTCTTGTTCCTCATCCATCATCCCCCTCTTGGGGCACGACGGCTTCCCAGCCTTCAGTGAACTGCGTGCCCCCCCACATGCCTGATCAGGGCAACTCGCCTGGGCATCGTTCCTGGATGGGCTGGTGGAGTTACGGGAAGCGTCTAGAAATCCTTATTCAGTGCACTGACCCCAGTGTGTCAATAATACAGAGAGACCCCACACACAGCCAGGAAGTCGTCACCATGAGTCAAAAGCCATTTCGCTGGTCTGCCACCAGAAAGCTCACTTTGCAATGTATGGGATGGAGACGCTGAGTGGCATCCAGAGCGGTGCCTCCCAGCACTCCGAAACCAATCCAAGACAGCACCAAGACGCCCGAGCGCACGCCAAGAAGAGCACTCATGTGTCCCAAGACATAGCGCGAGGGTTAAGTCGGGCCTGCCCCCCTACAGGGGGAGTTTGGGCGAGGAAAACAAAATAGTCGAAAAATACCCTAAAATATTCAAAAATGACAAAAAAGATCTTCCACTGACTATTTGTTGACTATTTTCGAAGATTCCTCCTGTAGAGGGACAGGCCCGACTTAACACTAGTAAGCCCCAATACTCATCCAATCGGTCGCATAGCACCCCCAGTCGGCCCGAAGACTCCCAGGAGCGACCTGGCAATGTTTATCAGCAGGCCCAAACAGGCCCCAAAGATGGAACCCACAAAGCACTCCGGCAGCCACTTGGGAAAAAAGTCGAAACAGAGAGACCATGAATGGCACACTGCGGAGAGGATCCGACCCATGCCCAGGTCAGCCCGCTCAACTCGATTCCACCGGTAACCCTGGATGGCTTCCCAGCGGTCAGAGACGCGTGTGGGTTCAGGGCTCTATGTCAGGCCCGCGACCCGCGCAATAAACTCTCCGACATAGTTACGCCAAAACGTCCCTCATCTCTCCTCCTTCCTCTGGGGGGCGTTGTGGCGAGCGCACGGGGCCGCTGTGGCGAGCGAACCGAAAAACAACCACAGCAACAACATCATACTACGACTACTTCTACTATACTCATCCTCATCCTCACCCCGCCTCCTCCTCCTTCCCCTCCCTTAACAGATCACCCCTTCAACTACTCCTACTCCAAAAACTACCGTATCATCGTCGTCATCATCATCACCATCATCACCATCATCATCAGCATCATCAGCATCATCGTAACCATCATGAGCATCAGCAGCATCATCATCATCAGCATCATCATGATCACCATCATCATCATCATCATCGTCATCTGAAGCAGCAGCATCATCATCGTCATCTGAAGCAGCAGCATCAGCATCAGCATCAGCATCAGCATCAGCATCAGCATCAGCATCAGCATCAGCATCATCATCATCATCAGCATCATCATCATAATCCCACCAGCACTTGAGCGACAGGTGGTCCAACGAGGATCTCTTTCCTCTTCCACAACCCCTCTCATGGGCAACGTTTCTGGATGGGCTGGTGGAGATACGCGAAGCGTCTGGAATCATCATCATCATCATCATCATCATCATCATCATCATCAGCATCATCATCATCATAAGCATCATCATCATCATCACCATCAGCATCAGCATCAGCATCAGCATCAGCATCATCACCATCAACATCACCATCAGCATCATTAGCAGCATCATCAGCATCATTACCAACGTCAGCATCATTACAAACGTAAACATCAACAACAGCCGCATCAACAACATCATCATCATCATCATCAGCGTCATCACCACCATCAACACCAGCACCATCCTCAGCATCAGCATCAACAACATCGTCATCATCACCACCATCACTCACCCATTATCATCATCAGCAGCAGCAGCATCATAATCATCACCATCAGCATCATCATCATCATCATCATCATCATCATCAGCATCAGCATAATCTTCATCACTCACAACATCCTCAAAAATATCACAACCATTTCACAACAACCATCATCGTCATCATCATCATCATCATAACCAGCATCACCATCGCAATCATCATCATCATGATCAGCAGCAGCATCATCGACATAATCCCATCATCATATCATCATCATATAATTACAATCAAAATCAGTATCGTTCCGATCATCATCATCATCATCATTATCATCATCATCATCATCATCACCATCACCATCACGTTCACAATGACCATCACCATCATCATCACAATCATCATCATCATCATCATCATCATCATCATCATCCTCATCGTCATCATCAGCAGCAGCGGCATCATCATCACCACCATCATCATCATCGCCCATCATCATGATCGTCATCATCATGATGATCATCATCATCATCATCATCATCATCATAAGCAGCAGCATCGTCATCATCATTATCAGCATCACCAGCACCATCACCATCATCATCATCATCACCATTATCATCAGCAGCATCATCATCAGAATCCGAATCCCCTCATCATCATCATCATCATAATCATCATCATCATCATCCTCATCCTTATCCTCAGCATCAGCATCAGCATCAGCATCAGCATCAGCATCAGCATCAGCATCAGCATCAGCATCATCATCACCACCACCACCACCACCATCATCATCATCATCATCATCATCATCATCATCATCATCATCATTTCATCATCGTCAGCGCCATCTTTTTCCCCCCTGCTCCTGAGCGGCATGCACATCATCCTCATCCTCCTCTTCCTCGCTCGCCTCCATTTCCCTCCCTCTCCACATCCCCCGATCCGGCCCCCGTCCCTCTCCCCCCCACTCCTGCAGTTGACTCCTTCCTCGTGTGCAGCCTACTCCTCTCGCTCCTGCTCCTGCTCCTCTTCCTCCTCAGAATTCTCCGCCTGCCCCTCGTCCTCCTCCCGCCCTCCGCGCCCACTCGCCGGCGCCCGTCGCCCCATGTCTAGGTGGATGAGAAGGAGGCGCCAGGAAAGGGAGGACGATGCAGGGAGGAGAAGCGGGAGGAGCACCAGGAGGAAGAGGAAGAAGAGTCAAAAATCAGGGGGACGTAAGACCTGGGTACAGGGGACTCGGAAATCCCCGACGAGGTCGTCAAAAAAATGACGAGGCCGAGCCTGCATTTTGACGAGGCCTCCCGCTGCAGACATCCCACGAAACTCCTCCTCGTCAAAATCCGAGGCGCGGTCGTCAAAAAAGGATGGCGAACCCGAGTCCTGGCAAACCCGGGTCTTACGCTCCCCCGAAAAGAAGGACCAGCAGAAGCAGCAGCACGAATGAGGCCGGATGCAGGATGAGGACAAGGGCGACAACTTGAGGAACGACGACAGCAACGTCGGCGACAGCAGCGGCGACGACGGCGGCGACGAGCACGACGAGCGCGACAAGGAGAACGAAGACGACGAGGACGACGCGTGGGCGACGGCGGCGCCAACACCTGCCGCTCGAGGTCCACCGTGACCGCGTGCGCCTGCCCAGGCGTGAACGGCGCCAGCCAGACGTGGAGGTCGTCCCGGGTAAGGTTGACCTCGGCGGCGGCGCGTCTGCGCGCGCCGTCGCCGGCGCCGTCGCCACCGCCGCCAGTGCCGGTGACGCTGTCGCCACCGCCATCGTCGCCGCCGCCGTCGCCTGCGTCGTCGCCGCCGAGGCCGCGCGCTGGCGCTGTCGCAGCCGCGCGCCGGCGCTGTCGCTGTCGCCAGCGCCATCGCCAACGCCGATGCTGTCATCGTCGCGGCGTTCGCCGTCGCTGTCGTCATCGTCGCTGCTGTTGTCGTCGGCGGCGGAGGCGGGGGAGCCGAAGGAGCCAGAGGAAGGAGAAGAGGAGCTTGACGAGGACTTGAAAGGCAGAGGACGATCGATTGTAGACACTTCCTTCAGGGAGTAACGCCTTGACGAAACGGGGATGGACAAGCCAGCAAGACAGTCTCGAGGCCCCGGACGGCCCAACGGCGCTCCGAGACAACACAAGACCGCTCCAATATGACTCAATGAAGCCCAACAGGCCCGCAACACGGCCGGATCGGGTTCCGGAAAGAAGGGCCCTCCCACGAGCTTGTTAATAGTGTGGGAACCTTCTTGGAACCGTTTTGAACGAAATTCTTGACCAGAGTGTTCCCTCAGTCGCCCCGAGCACACTTGGGAAAAGAGGACTTCACATATGTCGAGCGGGGTCTACCTCCTCCTCCCCACAGCTAAAAGTCCGCGCAGCCTCAGGATGACGACAGCTGGTCGGAGCGAGTGCGACACCGAGTATCAGGCACAAGTGCCCGCCGCAAATGCGCGGGGCGGTGGTTCGCTCGAGGCACCATCACTACAAAGAGGAGGAGGAAGAGGAAAAGAAAAGAGAAGCGCAAAAGGAAGATCAAGAGGGAGAGACGATAGGAACCAGCGCGATCGGCAGCGGGGGAGAAGGAGGAGAAGCGATGCAGCGACAAAAAGGAGAGAAGGAAGAGAAAGAATAGGTAGGAAAGAGAAGGAAAGGAAAGAAGGGAGACAGCGAGAAAGAGAGAGAGAGGGAGACAACAAAAAGAGGAGGAGACGGAGATCGAGAGAGGAACAGAGAGAGCGGACAAGTAGGCGGACCAGGGTCCGTCCGCGAGGCGCACTGCGGTGCGACAACTCGCAAAACACTATTAGCGGCGGTGCAACCTTAAGAAACGAGGGCGGGCGACAGGCCCCCTCCCCCGGCGCAATGCGTCTGAAGCTACAGACGGCGGACAGACTGTGAAGATCTCACGTGTCAGACCGCGTGAAGAAAGAGGGCCCCAACGCAAGTGGCGACGTGAAAAACGTGGCTAAGGCGGCTTGGCGGACCGCCGGTTGGGCGCTTGGCCGCTGCGCGGCGCGCAGAGACGGGGCACCCCCCGCCCCCGCGCCCAGGCCCCGTGGACGCGGTGCCACGCGGGCGCACGGGCTGGCGAAAAGAGAAAAGGTGCACCAGCTGGGAGCCGCATGGCCCAGCACAGTGCGCAGTGACAGAGTCCGCGACGAGGCGGCGACGGCAGAGGGGCGCCAGACGCGCCGAGGAAAAGGTGCACCAGCTGGGAGCCGTATGGCCCAGCACAGTGCGCACAGGCCGAGAACCCCAACAGGAGCGGCAAAAGCTAGCCGACAGCACAGCGGCACCAGCCGCTGCCAGCTAACCTTTAGCCCCCATTGGCGGACCTCGAGAGAGACAGAGTCCGCGGCCAGGCGGCGGACGGCAGAGGGGCGCCAGACGCGCTGAGGAAAAGGTGCACATGCTGGGAGCCGAATGGCCCAGCATGCGCACAGGCGGGGACAGTGCAAGGGTGCAGAGGAGGCCCTCACAGCGGATGCACCCGCTGCCCTTAAGGGAAAGACCTGTACCCCCTTAAATTCCCGATCGCATCACTGAATGCTGCTGCTCCCAATCACTTCGCCAGGAGCTGTGGCGGAATACACTAAAGTGATACAAGTCGACACGAAAATGCAATGCCGCGGGACCCTGCGAAAAAACGACCCCTTTTGGCAGAAATGGGTCGTTTTCTCCGGCGGCACACATTCGTGAGGCGTGATGTCAATTACACACGGGTGCGCGGGGCGGGGCTGGAGCCGCCACCCCCGCCAGCAGGCACGGCACACCAGGGAGCGCCCGGGTGGGGCCGCTACTTCCAAGCAAACTCTTTCGCTAGGGGAACAAAAAATGACATAAACATAAAAACTCGGAGGTCCGCGCGGATTTCTCGGATCGGCGCTGGACCCCCCTCCCTGGCGCGCGGAGCGCGCCAGGGGCGGCGCCGGAGGCGCCGCCAGGGGGCCCTTGGAAGTGGCGGCCATGATGTGTCCTTTTCCCTCGATGTCACCCGCTCGCTCGCGCTCTCTCTCTCTGTTCCTCTCTCGATCTCCGTCTCCTCCTCTTTTTGGTCTCTTTTTGTTCCCCTATTCGCAAACTGCGCGAACATCCTTACCTGAGCACGCGCGGAACGACGCGCGGCCCTCGTCGCCGCGCGACAGGCACCTCCCGGCGCGATCTCCACGGCGCCCCGCGCGGCGTGCACGCGGCGGGGCCCCTGGACGCCCCGATGGCAGGCCCCACGGCGCGGCCACAGGAAACAACAGAGCACGCGCACCAGAGTCTACAGCTCAGGCCCTCGCACCTCGCCAGTGACTACCTACCAGACCACCCCAACCCAACCCGAAGACCCGAGTTTCGGGTGGAGGGGGGGTTAAGGGTTCCACGTGTGCTTTTTCGATGTTTCCCGACCCCCCCACCACTGGAAATCGAGGGTAAATCTGAGCCTTCGGATTGGGTTGGTGTGGTTTGGTGGGTGGTGAGCCAATCAAATCAGGCACGACCACTTTCGTCGGCGAACAGAACGCCACGTGACGGAACGCAGGCGCTGGGCCACGACCCGGAAAGCGCGCCCGACCCGACCACCCGGGCGCCCATGCCGGCGCCGCCCTGATCGCGACGAAGCAAGGCACGCGTCTGGGCGCCCCCCGCGAGCGCCGCGCGCGACTGGGAAGATTCGCCGACGCGCGAAAGCGCGACCCCCGCGCCGAAGGCTTGCGTCGCAAGGAAGGCCAAAACACTGACGAATACACTTCCTCATTAACGATTAACCGCTATGGCACAGGCCCGCGAGGCGCAGCCAGTTTGTGCTGCCCCCAAGATGCCAGCTCTCGCGACCTCGCGACACCATCTAGACGTCTTCCCACTGACGAATCGGAGCCGTTGAGGGAGTCGTCGGACGGCGGCCGCCGCAGCGACCCTGCAAAGCAGGCGGGGGGTGGCGAGCTCCTGGGCCACGAATTGGCTGATCTCGAGGGGCAGCTGCGTGAGCGCGTAGAAGAGTGGGCATGGAGCGAGGATGGCACGTGGGATTTCGCGCCTTTCACCCTAGCGGCCCTTGGACGCGAACGTCCAAAGGGGGCTAAGCTTGCGGGGGCGCCTGCAAGGAGCGGCGCGGTCGATGGCATTGCCTTGCGCCAGCGCGGCAGTTCATTCGCCGGGTACACCGCGGAAGGCGCCAATCAGCTGGCCAGGGAGCATTGCCGCTGGGGCCAGCACTTCTACGACATCTGGATTAACGGAGGCGCCTGAAATTGCTTCCAACATACGCCAGCTCACATCGCCGCCTGTAAGGACGGCATGGGGATTCCTGGACTACACGACCGACTAAGACGTCGCCTCAGACACGTTCGCAACAGGCCTGTAGATCAAGCGTTTCCAGCCCACAAACCCATGAGCGGAAATAAACATGCATCGCGCGCCAGAATCACCCCGCAGCAATCGCGCAGCATGGGCGCATTCGTCGCGCCAGAATTCCACGCTAATCGCACACTGCTGCAACACGAATCACGCAATCACGCACTTGTCGCGCACGAATATCGCACTGATCGCGCGCGAATCGCGCACTAATGGCGCACATGGCGCACGATTCGCGGCGTAATGGCGCACTTATCGCGCCCTTGTTGCACGCTGATATTGCACTGCGAACTAATCGCGCGCTGATCGCGCGCCAGTCGCAGGCTGGGCGGGGGCGGGGGCCCGCGCTGCAAGCGTGCTCACTGCTGCACTCTTATCGATGATGGTTCAGAATGGTACACACTATTTTCACTGGGTCTTCAAATGCATTCCCTGTGTTCTTGAACACAGCGTCAGGCGGGGCGCCCCGCCGAAATTTGCGCCCCGCCCCAGTTCCCTTAAAGCGTCAACACCGTGAGTCGCTCTGCGGGGCGCCCTGGGGCAGCGCCAGGGGGGGCGGCCAGAAGGGCCGCCCCCGGGCGCCCTGCGGGCGGACCTGCCCGGGCCCTCCCTCAGCGCCCCCCCCTTCAGCCAGAGGCCGACCAGCCCGGGCCCCCTGCGGGACTCGCAAGGGAGGGGCCCCCTCGTCTCGGGGCCACGCGGGGCCTGGCGGAAGTCCAGCAGGGAAGCTCCGCAGGAGTATCGGGGCGCCTCTGGGAAGCATATCGTATTTCGTTCCCGTTCCTCCTCCTCCTCCTCCTCCTCCTCCTCCTCCTCCTTCCCGTATCTCGTCCTCCGCCTCGTCCTCCTCCTCCTCCTCCTCCTCCTCCTCCTCCTCCTCCTCCTCCTCCTCCTCCGCCTCCTCCCCGTATCTCGTATGGGGGGCCACCGGGGCGCCTCTAGGAGCTTCGCGGGGCTCCAGAAGAGGCCGCTGGAGGCCAGGCATCTTCTGTACCCGGCTCTACTCGGCCCGCTTTACTGCACCCTGCGCTGCTCCGCTTCGTGCGGCGCTGCTCTTCCGTCGGCCCTGCCCTACTCGACTCGAAAGTGATGCATTCCGCTGCAGCAGACTTGCCCCTACTCGCCTTGGCCCTGCTCTAGGCCACTCAACTCTACACTTTCCCTGCTCCACTCTACTAGACTCTAGTCGACCCTACGTTCTGCCACTCCTGCTTTACTCTATGTCTGACTTGTTCTGTTCCACTTGACTGTGCTCTTCTCTACTCTGGTCTGCCCTACTCTACTTTACTCCAGAATTAGGCCTCTGCCATGCGATAGTCGGGGCGCCATAGGGGCAGCAAGAGAGAGCCATTGCAATTACAGAGGAGGCCGCTG